AAAAGGAACAGGTATAAACCTGGAATAGCCTCAATATTTAAAACCCCCATTGGAAGAGCTCAGAGCAAAGCTAATGATCTCTTACCGGAGCCTTTTGCTCAGGTCCCTCCGAGCCTCGGGCGTGTTTTGCTGTGGCTGCCTTAGTTGTGGCCAGCATTACCCGGTCTGGTCCTTTGAGGAGTACACAGGGCGTGTTACAGTTTAAACTGTTACTTTATCCTGCTTGTATCTGTCACTGTTTCTTAAATCCCAGGCACTGGGACCTGTGTGTGAGGAGCTTTGCACAATGTAAGCTTTGCTTCTTGATACAGAAGCCATGAAGGTCGCTCAGGTTAAACCTGCACCTCGCAGTTACCGATGTGTACTAATGCACTTTGTCCTTCTCCAAAATTCTCACTGTGTTCACTGACTTCATGCATAACGAGATGGAGCTGAAATGCTGTAAATATATAGATTAATAGGAAATTGTAATGTCCATCAGCACCTGTGGCCTCAGAAGAACAAGACAGTGAAAACCAACAACAAATTTCTGTCATTAACATCTTTCAGTGCTAATCAAAAATAAAGTATTTATGCCAACAAGGGAGAGGACAACACAACTTCTGAATAAAAAATGGTGTTTTGTGGTGTTCTTTATTCGAGACTCAAGTGGAATAACAGCTAAAGTAGTGCAGGGGGTTCTTCAGTTCTTCAGATAGACTGGGAACTACTGTAGTGATTCTTTGCTTTACAGAGCACAACTGAAATTTTTTGTTTATCTTAGATTTTCAGCAAATGAAGCTACAGGTTCTGAGGCTGTTTCTCATAAAGCTAATAAAAAAGGTTGAGTGGTCTGAGTTCTAATAGGCTGCTCAGGTTGGAATTTAGATTTCCCCTCCAGTGTGAGCTCAGTATCACAAGTGCCTTGTCCTGCCCTGGGCTCGTTCACCGAGGTCTGAGATGAAGTGAGGTTGAGTTACTCTGGCTTAAGGCCACGGGCTGAGCCGAGGTCACTCTGGCACTCTGAGCCAAACCCAGCTGCGGGGGCAAATGGACAAGAGAAATTTCGTGAGGGTGGTTCAAGGGACTGTGTTCTGTTCTGTGTCACAACTGAAATATCATAAATGGTGTGCATGGTCAGCAATACAGCTCAACTGCAAGGTAACACCCTCACAAAATCCTGTGAATTTGTTGTAGTGAACCTGCACTGTGGGTTTCTTTCAAAATGCTGTTAAAATGCTCTAAAAACCTAGTCAAAGAACTGTCTGCAATGGTGGCATGTTTTCATTTTACCTAGTTTTTAAACGAGCTGAATGCAGTGAGAATTGTAAGGGAAAGACATTTTTAATTATACTTTTAAAACATTCGGATTTTTCCTGTGGTGAAATATCTATAATGCCCCACACTTCAATGAATGAGATTTCCCCAAGGTCAGCATCCAGCCCCCTGAAGCCCAGCATTAAGGTAGCAAACCCTGCAGTAAATCTACCAACAGGTTGAAAGCATATCTAGAAATGTGAAGAAAAACAGATATTTTCTGTGCCTAAGTGACAAAGCTGCCAATTGAGCGTGTGATTTTCATTTTTGTGATCTCTTTGAAGATACACTGTGCCCTTGGGCTGGAGTGTAACCCCCTGGTTGTGCTGTCTTGCAGATAACTTCCTCCTCAGTGATGAAATCATAGCCAATGGCTTTCACTCCTGTGACAGTGATGAAGAAGACAGAGCCTCACATGCAAGTTCCAGTGACTGGACCCCAAGACCACGTATAGGTAGAAGCCTGGAGCATGTTCTTAAATGCTCTTTGCCTTTCAGCAGTCATTTAATCCTCCCCAGTATTCAAATTATTTTTCCTGTTGCAAAAATACTGGCAAAAATTAGTGCTTCTGAGCAGCTTAGAGGTGTTGGCTGTATTCTGTATGGTATTTAAGGAGTTTAAAAATGAACCCCTTGAAACTTGCTGTATTTTGATTAAAATTGTCAAGGTCTTATTTTTTTCTTGAACAGAAATCCTGCCACAATCCCTATTAAAAGCATACACACAGACTTACTAAATTAAACTAATTTATGGCATATTTCTATAGTCTGCCTACTTAATATTAATTCTTTAAGGAACAAGAAGATGATCCCTGTATAATTTTAGGACCAGGAGCCCTCATCTTGAGTGTTTCTGAAAAGATTGATTTAATGGCTTGAGGAGGTCATGTCTGAAATAATTAGTGTTAGATGACCAAAAAAACCAACAGAAATCCATGGATTGCTGGGCTCTGTGTGTGTTTAGAGTGATGGTTTATAATGCCACAGGAAAGCATGTGTATGTTGTCTCTTCTGCTTATTCCTGTAAATACCAAATGCTGGGAGAATACACATGGAGACACATTGGGAAACTCCTGTTGCACCTCTAAAAGAGGTTAAGTTTGCTGTGAACTGGGGTTTCAGCTTGACTCTCTATGAAATCCTTCATGGGTTAACATAAAATAATGATAAATAAGTAAAATGCTCAGCTGTCACTTCAGAGTTTAGACCAAAATACAGGGGGTTTGATGAAAGGAGCATAAAATTGGATTCATGAAACTGTACTAGCAAGCATGAATAAATGGAACAATGACCATGATCATCTGCAGTACTTGACTGTGTTTTTTGATTTTTCCTAGGTCCCTACACTTTTGTCCAGCAGCATCTCATGTTAGGTACAGACCCACGGACGATTCTGAAGGACCTGCTGCCAGAAACCATCCCCCCCCCTGAACTGGATGACATGACTCTGTGGCAAATCGTGATAAACATCCTTTCAGAGCCACCAAAAAGGAAGAAAAGGAAAGATATCAACACCATTGATGATGCTGTGAAACTTTTGCAGGAGTGCAAGAAGATCATGGTGTTGACTGGAGCTGGGGTAGGTATTGCTGCAGTGACAGGGTGACAATATGGAGACAGGTTGGTTCAATACTTCAGCACAGCTTGCAGGGATGCTGGGGGGAAGAGTCCATGTAAGGAAATCACAGTGTCTCTCCTCTCAGAACAAAATAATCACAGACACAGAAACTTGTCAACAGCTGCTTCCATGCAAAATAGTTACAGAATAAGAATGCATTACCTGGCCAGAACATTTCCTATCCTAGTCTTCAGACAAAGGGCATGACTTTTTAAAACAAAATCTCAGTGGATCACTTAAAATCCCAGATGGAGCTTGAGGGACTAGAAGAATAGGATTTGAAAAGAGTTG